GGGGACTGAGAAAGTTAGACTAATGCTGTCCAAAATGAGTTATGAATATTCATAAGTGATTTCAGGTTTTCACTTGTAATTTTCTGTTTCCTTCATTTGATTTTGCTGAATCTCCATTTCGGTTTTTACTGACAATACTCACTTATTCTATAGTTCCAAGGTGAAAGAACAGAAGACTATAACCTTCTTTTTTCTCCAGGAAAAAGAGACTGTACTCTCCCGGTAGAGAGGGAGTTTGTCTTATACATCTTACATCCAGTTCATACGTGCCTTCTGCATAACAATCACTAAATATTCCTTGCCTATGTTATCTCGTGCTTATTTTATAACACCGAGCAAGCAACCTAGGCTGCCTGTTTCTGCTTCCTTACCTGTTTCATTCTTTCTTCAACCTAGCTTTTAACCCTGCACTCTCTTGGGCCTACTCTTGCTAACAGACCTTCTGTCTGCCACATCCAGTGGATACATATGTCTGCTGTCCTCCTTTCCTTGCCCTTCACCCATGCCTCCAGGCTCTCTTGGCCTCTGTAGTGGCTCTTCCTTAGTCTCCTCTTTATCCCTTCTTCTTCCACCTCACCAAAGTTGGTGGTCCCCAGAATCGTAATTTATCCTCTCTTCCCATCTCACTGTATGTTTTCCTTATCTGAGGCTTTGACCTGTACATATGTGTTCATTCTTATCTGAGGCTTTGACCATACTCCTGACTCACAATCAACATTGCCAACTCTTATTTCTCTCCTGAGCCTTGGTCCTGTATCTCCAACTGCCCTACTTGAAAGCAGCGCTACCAGGGCAGCCTCTGAGGCACATAAACTTATTATGTGATTTCTTCTTCACCCTCCCAATCTGGCCCCTCTCCTGAATTCTCCATCTTAGTTCATGACATCACTGTTAACCTAGTCATCCAAATTAGGAAAACTTTAATTCATTTATAATCCATGGCACCATGAAAAATTATCTTCTAAAACCCTTAAAGAGAGCACTTCACACTCTCAAACAAAGACTTCCCTTGTCCCACTACTGACTATCAGCAGCAGACCAGCTTCTTTGTCTTCAGCACGAAGCGCCAGGCCTAATGAGACTCCAGCCCACTTCTGGCAGATCACCTCCTCCTGCATCCCCAGGTCACCCTATGCTTGAGCCCCACTGGACTATTTACAGTGTGAGAATCTTTTGCATCTCTAGCCTAGCACATGCTGCTGCTGCTGCCTACAGCAGTGATTCTCAACAGGGGACAACTTTGCCCCTAGAGGACATGTGGCAATGTCTGGAGACACTTTTTGACTGTCACACTGGGAGAAAAGAGTGTTACCAGCATTTAGTGGATGGAGGCCAGGCTGCTGTTAAATATCCTACAGTGCACAGGATAGCCCCCACTTCAAAAGTGTCCAGCCCCATAGAATAATGCTGAGATGGAGAATCCCTGCCCTAGAATCTCTTTGATTTCTCTGCCTGATGAACTCCAGTTCACCTATCAAGACTCGGTTCAAAAGTCACCTCCTCTAGGAAACCTTCCTCTGCCAAGCAGGTCCTCTCGCCAGAAAACAATGTCACATCTTTCTACTTTCTCATATACAACTCTATTTAGTACATCACATATTAGACTGAAAATTTTTATGTTTACCAGCATGTCCCTATTACTAGAATGGGAGCTCCCCTAAATAGAGACTGTATTTTACTCATGTTTTATTCTCAGTTCTTGGGATAGTGCCTGGCACTCAAATATGTACTAGATGAATTAATTAAACAAGACACATCTACAGAGAATACAAAATATTTTCAGGCAAACAATTCAGCATTCTGAACCTCTCTGAAATGAATGATTCCTCCATTCTAAGAAATATACATGTACAAATATACATTTTTCACCAACTTTCTAAAACTGTCATTAACATTGTTCCATCACATTTTAGAATATTTAAAATTTACGCTGGTTTTTGTAAGTGCTGCTCAAAATAAATTTAACAAAATCTCTAAATATTCTGCTCAACTTAGTGAAATGGGGATTGGAAAATAATGGAGCATTAAAATAAGCATACATTTAAAACACCTATTTTAGGAAAAACAAGTAAGAAAATATTGAAATGTATAATCTTGAGGTTAATGTTAAAAGCTTTGAAATACTTGAGACATAAGTTTGTTATGGTTCTACTACACTAGGCGTAAGCAATTTACCTATTTAGAATTAAGTTGCAGGTAATATACAAAAACTTTTATAACAAAAAGAAAAAACATAAAAATATTTCTCATAAAAATATGCATATAAGCAAACTTGGGCAAAACGCTAATGCACATTAAAAAGAAGGTCCTGAAATCTCTGAGCATCCTGACAACATGATGCAAGAGATTCAGAACCCAACAGATGGGGGAAAATAAAATAACAGTAGAGAAAACTAACTACAGATTTAGAAATCTGAAGACCTATAATTTTTATAACTGTATACGAAGTACCTTAGCTCCTTAACCTGCTTCTTGATTGAACTGACAAACTATGACACATACTGTTAAAATATCAAATATTTATTTTCAGATCAAAAGTCATTATATAGCCTTTACAAAAGTAATACTGTATTTCAAAAAGCATATATAATACACATATGCCAGTTACTGTTACCTTGTTTGCTATGCCTGAAATAAACATTATTATGCAGACAGACTACAAAGTCTCAACTTCACTCTAAGTTGTAAACACAGAACACATCCAGTGTCTCAGATACAGGTAAAGTTCTCACTAGATTTAAAAAATTAGTCATTAATGAGCTGTTGATTATAGAAAGCTAGAAACTCAATTTTATACTGCGAGAGACTGGGAGCTAACCATATAAGAAAAGAATTTGTAGACTCTCAGTGATTTAGAAACCAGGGTCTCTAACCACAGCAGTGATTTAATTTCATGGCTGCTCAGTACAGATAGCTGACATTACTAAATGCTACTCTAATATCAACTTGTTAAATGTGAATCCAGACTCAGCATATCAGAATACTAACCCAGACTAACTGGAGTCATGGGAAATATTTTGGGAGCTGTTTATTTATAAATGAGTTACAATATACCACTATAATTAGATTAATATATAATTATTGATAAACACAGGATTATTTCTAAAACCCATTATTGTTGTCACTGCTATATTTAGAAAAAGCAACACTAGAATCGTCTTCATGAAATAAGCCCTTGATTTATCAATTAGATCTATTTGGATCTAGTAAAAAATAAATCTGTCACTGTTTACAATGCTTTTATGAAGATAACTAGAATAAATATTAAAAGAGGGGAAAATTTAAAGCTTCAGCAAACTGCACACTTCTGAACTATTTTATAATCCAATAATCTACCAAAAGACAGAATCTGCACAAAGTTATACATTCTATTGTCACAAAGAATATTTAAGTTAGCTTACCTAAGTATAACTAAAACCATAAAAATGTGTTTTTAACAATGCAAAAGCATTTGATTCACATTTCATTAAAAAACACATTTAAAGTACTCTTTTCAAAAGCATCCACAACAAACTATAATTATTACTACAAAATAAATGATTTCAAGATATTTCTGTAAATATTTGACATGAATTATTCCTTTCAGGTTATTTCATTAAGTGTAAAATAAATTTATAAGTAGCATTATTTTGATTAGCAAACTATTAATATGTTTCTTCTCAGTTCCACTTCTTTTTTCTTTTAGGAGGGAAAGCAATTGAATGGATTATAATCTTTTAAAAGCTGGTTTTAGAAAAGTGTCCTAAATGGAATTTAAAATTCTAAAATATAGATCAGAATTTCAAATCTGATATTTTTTATCCTCAGTAAAGTAGTGGCTTACATTAGCATCTGGGCATTGGTAACAATTATTGTATTTAGCAGATTTCAGAAGAGAGAAAATAAACTAGCAGTTATGATATTATTCACCTAAATCTATTTATCCAAAAGTTTTTTTAAAAAAAATATTTAATATACATATTGTTACAAAAATACAGATAAACAGATATGGTCCCCCGCACCCCCAAACTATTATGTACTGTCATGTAGAATCACTTTAGTTAGAAAATTTTTTAAATTTCCTGGAATCTGGTAAAACATTCCATATACAGAAATTTTAAAAGTCTATTTCAGTTCAAACAATTTTAAATATTTTGGAAAGGCCAAATTACATAAAGAACTCTTGGCAAAGATTCATAAGGGTTAAATTACTAATAAAATAAAGACGAATTGTCAAAAAAACAAATAAAAAGGTAAATAGAAAATTATGGGAACTGCCTAGCAATTTAAACAAAATTCAAAAAGACTAAAACTTAGAATTCAATATTGTTGAAAGAGTGAGTTACATTTTAGAAGGCAGTATTAACTCGTGGCTAAAGAAAAAATAGGGTGGAAACAAAATTCCTGTGGTTAAGGGTATATACAAACGCAAATGCCATTTATTTTTCCTCTGCTTTAAACATGCAGCATAATAGTTTTTATGAATGATCTTAGAAATACATGTATTTTAGAGATATAGTTCCTCTATAACCATTTAAAACAAGATCTTTGCACTTTGATACGGGTTTTTGTTTAATATTTTAAATAAGCATTTAAAATTTTACTCTATTTCATAATGATTAAGAAGGGGAGAAAACAAAATGATCATTTTGAAGATAGGAATAAAATACTGAGCTACATAACAGAATACTATACCATTTAAAGAAAAAATATATTAAGATAAAATGTAAAATAGATTGTTATTCAAAGTTTGTTTTTATGTTACAGAAAAGTTTTACAGCTTAAATCACTTAGGAAGATTTTTAAAAATACACATTTTGTACATTGGTAAAATAACAGAGTAAAAAACTACACATAGGGTTCTTCAGATTTACAAATATAAAATTCATGACTACAAAGTATATGCTAGCTAAGGACTGGGAAAATATATTAAATTGCTTAATTGTAATAAATTTTATCTAAATATTTCATTAAGTTATTCTCATATAAATTAACATTTACCAAGACCAAAGGAAACTTACCTTACAAGAATTAGACAGTTCATTTGTGCAATCTCTGTTGCTGTCTCTTGATAAATTATCAACTTTACCTTCATTTCCAGATGCAAACTTTATGAGTAACTGAGATGGTCCCCCTTTAGAACAATTGTGCTTAAGGCTGGATAGACAGGAAATATTTGGATAAGCTCCTCCCAATGAAATACTTCTTTGTAAAATACCATGATTTTTGTTCATCTGTGAATCTGGTCTTTCCAATTCTCCACTGATATTTATTTGATAATCAATGTTTTGGGAGGATGGCAAACATGCAGATGTCTTATGCATGAGCTTAATATACTCGGAATCAGAATTAAGCTTAATTTCTGACATTTCTGGTTTACAATCGCCATTTGTTGTTCCACCATCTAATGTAGTTGCTTTTTGTTGGGTGAAATGCACTGAAACACAAGAGTATCCTTCAGATGACTTTTCACAGGCAGTCTGTTTGGGAGTACTATTTGAAATAACAATTTTCTTTTGTAACAAGCCCTTCCTGTGAAGTGGCCTTATGTCTCTTACTTCTCCGGGGGTATAAACTGTTTTAGATAACCGAAGTCCATTGACAGCTGTTGAAAGAAATCCTTTAGCACCAGTGCCATCCTCATTATGTGCAATTTCATTAGGAGAAATAATAAACTGGTGTGAAGTTTGATAGGATCCTTTGCTCAGAAGAGTACATGGACTTGTTGGAGAAGTTGGTGGGGTATTTGAAGGACTCCTAGGAAAAATGACTAAGGAGGAGCAACGTTTTAGAGGAATTTTTGTGTTCCCGCTCACTGGCAATTTCATAATCTCTAATCCATGTTCCAAGTCATCCTGGACAAAAGGATCTGTACTTGTATTTCTTGAAAAAATTTCACATGGAGTAGTATTCCTGTTTGGCACACTTCTATTGGAGGTGCTGTCAGAAGATAAATTTCCACCCAAAAACGTATCATCACTTGGTGGAAAAGTATAACTACTACTGTCACTGATGACACTGTTAGTGTATGAACCTCCACTTGTGATACTTGTACATGACCCAAAATCACTACCATTGCTGCTGCAAGACCCATTGTCACTAGCTGAAAAGTTACTAAGGCTACCACTACAAATGGCAGGACTGCTTAAAAGGTTACCATCATTCACAGCATTCAATTCATTATCAGCCACAACACTGCTGTAAACACCATCCTTTAAGATACAAGTAAATGAAGCATCATCACTATCAGCTAAGACATTGCTAGACTGAAGACAACCACTGTACCTTGTGGGCTGTAGTGAAATCTGCAGACAGCTGCTCTTTTTAATAACATTTTCAGATGAAGGAACAGATGATCTTTCTTGAGACTGAATGTTTCCCTTTATTAACGGAGCTAGTGCAGTCTGTCTGGGAGTCAGCTTCATTTGAACAATGTTAGACGCTGAAATCCGTGTTGGTCTTTTGAAGCACATGTGAACACGGCTATCCAAGTCATCTCCGGAGGCTTCTGACAAAGGGTAAGTATTGCTTCTTCTGGCTGCAAAGTGCAATCGTAAGCTCTGTGCCATTTGTTCTCATTTCCAAACATGTTAAAGGCTGAAAGTCATAACAAATATCTCTGTCTGTAGACAGGCTAGAAGCAGCTGCACTGCATCAAAAGAAAAAAATCATTTATGGTGCCTAAAAGAGCTATTAAGTAGTGGTCTTTATCCTAAGTAAAACATTAGATACCAGATATCATAGAAAGAAAAAGACGGCCCATTCCTGAGACTGACGTTTCCAAAATGTCTTGAATTGCTTGTAGTCAAAATGCCTTCACTTACAAAGCACTTGATTTCCAGCGACCTTTAAGCTGAGCTCAGCTGCAGCACACTGACTCAAACACAGCCAACCTTGTTTCAATTATACCTTCTCCAATTTGCATGAATGAGTAACACAAGAACAACAATCTTCTAACATTTCAAGTTGAAGCAGTATTTTTTCACCCTAGCTCTACTAAATGAACATATAACTATGTGAATCGCAGTGCCTATACTTTCTCCAGCTGACTTTGACCACTAATATTTTTACCCATAGGTATAGAATTACAGGAAGTTGGTAGGAACGGAACCCCATGTAATTAAGCATCAAATCAAAGATTGAATTTCCAAACAGTAACCATACTAGGAATCTAGTCAAGTTATAGGGGCTGTTAATTTTATTTTTAATGAGTGAATTCAAACAGTTGTGTAAATTTGGAAATACTAAAACTTTGGGATGAACTAAAACTTTAGCACTACATCAAACAGATAGACATTTTAGCTTCCAAAGTGCTAGTTATATAAAAAGTGAAAGATTAAGAACAGAACTACAAAATTAGCCTAGTAATACTACTGCAAAAATGAAGCACAGGTTCAAGAAAGAAAAGGTTAAGAGAAGCTGTCACTAAGCATTTTCTTCTGTAATTTTAAGGCCTTTTCCAGCCAAGTAGAACAGTCTTTAAATAATGCCATTTATATTTTGACTATTAAAACTCTGCCAAGAAATAGCCTAAGCAAATACTTCATTAAAAATATATGCAGATTAGAAAAAAAAACTATACCCCAAGATAGTTTGAACACACAGGATATTTTATTCCACTGTCTCTGCAATTCATTCACTTAAGAGAGTGTGGAGTTAAGTAAAGAAGTCAAAAAAAGGATTTAACACATCAAATAAACATATCTCAATGCCAATTCTGTTCTGAAAAACTCTAAGAGCTCTTTGCTGGCCCCTGCTGGTGCTCTGAAACAATGCATTTAGCTGTTTGATATCTACAAAGAAATACAAACCATGCTGCACATTTCTTTATATAAACAAAGTACATACTTGTTTACGTTTTTGAGAACTTGCCCTGCCCTAGAGGTGGAATTACTCACCAGTGCTGATAAAGCTCCCACAGTAGAGAACAGTGGACTGTTTGTCCTTTTAGAGGTTGTGATTTTGTATATATATATTTTTTGCTTTGTATTTATTTAACCTTTACTTTATTTTCAGTTTACTAGGCAATAAAAGTTTAATATTTTAATTTCTCTCCCAAATGTCATAGACCAAGGTTGGTATTCTATTTGAAAGAAATAAATTTATTTTTAAATAATACTCTAGGGTATATTTAAACCCCTTACATAAATTTTATAGCTGGAACTCCAGTAATAAATATATACTGGCTCATTCATAGGAAAGTAAAAGGTAAAATAGTTCAGTTGTTTATACCACATGGTACTACACCCAAGTTGTACTTTTCTAAGTAAGATTGTTTTCCTTAGTAAAAGCAAATATGTAAAACATACACTCATACTTTGTCAAAAAAATTGCTTAAGAGAGATCTGTTTTCAATCAGAATTTTCTGAACAGATTTTTAATCAATTAAGACACAACAAAATAGAAATATTTTGCCAATAATCCTAAGCAAACATGCTATTAAAAATATATGCAGATTAGAAAAAAAAGTCTACCCCAAAATAGTTTGAATTTGAATTTACTGAATTATATTTGACTAGAATGAACTAGCACTGTGTTTTAGCATGTATATAATAGTTGAAACTTAGTAATTCAATTATTGTGTTATTTTGGTTTTATATAACTTATCTTCTTACGATTTTACAGACTTCAGTCAATATTCCATTAACTTCTTTCTGTTTTAAATAAGGAGAATTCCTCTTTTACTCTGCCTTCAAATGGCTTCAGCTTTCTTTCTGGGATTAAGTGAGGGGTCTAATAACTCAAAGAATGAATATCTTCTAATACGTTAATCATTAAGATCTAATTATTCATGCCTGTAGCCTAAAACTTCCAGGAATTAAGAAAAGCTCCTCTGTTTACTAACATATAAAACAAAAAACTCCAAGTATTTGGCCAGATAAATGTCCTCTCTTCGGTAAGCTTCACTACAACATCAGTTCCCTGTCCTCTAACTAGATTTTAACTTTCCAGAGTGCATGGACCATAACTACACATTTCTTGTGATCCTCCTGAGCTTGTCCTGGGCACAAAGTAAGCACCAAAAGACACCAGAAAGAAGGCTGGAGGGATTGATGGATGGTGTCACCACAGTCACTCTGAATGCCTAATACTTTCTTTCAGGATTGTTGTTGTTGTTGAAATTGATCCAGCTGCCACTTCTAAAGAAAGATCAAAAAGTACTGCAGGTGGACAAGAAGGAATGACGTGTGAAAAATTTACAGAAAGGGTTTCAGCCAAGGAAAAGTGGGGTAAGAGGATCACATGCACTTCCCAGCACTCTAGTCTGCGTTTAAATTCTAGGGAGACTGAATAATTTGCATTGCTGGCTGAGGTCTGAAATTGCATAGGATCCGTACTGCTATTATAGTAGTTGCATGGGAAATCGGGGAACGTGCTATAAAATGCAGCCCCTCAGTCCAGCAAATACCAAAACAGGATTATAACCCTAACCTTACGTGTGGAAGAACTGGAGGGACATGGCAGCCCTCATCTGGAAAGAATCCATCCAAGTCCTGCATAAAATTTTATATTCTGGAATTAAACAGATAATGTCTTAGGATTGAAGCTAAGAACCCCACATTCTGAGCTGTTGGTTACTGATCATCTCCACAGAAAATAAAGAGATTATCTACATGGTATGGATAGGCTCTGGGTAACCTTAATCACTGACTGAACTTAGAAGGTCAAAGTCTGCTGTGGTGGTTAACTGTATTTATCAACTTTGATAGGTTATGGTACCCAGTTGTTTGGTCAAACATCAGTATAGATATTGATTGCCATGAAGACATTTAGACATGATTAGCATTTAAATTAGTAGATTTTAAGTACAGCACACTACCCTCCACAATGTGTGTGGGTCTCATCCAATCAGTTGAAGGCTTTAAGAGCAAACACAGGTTTTTTAAGAAGAAACAATTCTGCCTCAAGACTACAATGTAGAAACCCTGCCTAAGTTCTCAGCTTCCTGGTCTGCCCTGCAGATTTCAGACTTAAGTCTTCAATATATACATATATACATAGTGTGGAAATATATATATATTTTCATATATTACACATAATTTCACATATAAAATATATGAAAAATAAATAATACATAATATAATCTATTGTTTCAGTTTCTCTGGAGAACTCTGACTAATACAACTGCTAAACACAAGAAGCACAGGGTCTCCATCCAGAATACAGGTGGTTCCTAAAACCGGTGGCTGAATGTGTACAGATGTATGTCTTAGACTGATGACACAGTGCTAACTTTTGCATCGGTGGGTAGAATTATTTTTTAGGGCACATCATTCTGAAATGTTCTGTCATTATTGCCACCACCACCACCACCACCATGACCATAATGAAATGACCATTTTAAAACCTTCAAGTCTTAACATTGGCTGGAAAGAAAGTGACATAAGCCTACTCTTTCTTGAAAGCAAGTATCACTTATATTGGAAACGTTTTCCAGATGACTAAAGTTGTTCCTGCTAAATATTATACTTGTGTTCTTCACCCTGCATTTTCAAAGAGAATTTGCTAGGAAAATGGTCCATTTTAAATTTAGTTGTGAGTGCCTTAGCAGAATAAAGATGGGATGACATTTACAACACAGATCACTTGTTGCTATACAATCAGGTCTGTTTCTCCACCAATGGCTGAAGTTTCTATAACATCTCAGGTCATGGCTATACTTCTGTTACCTGCTAAGACTAGCAACCAATCAGAGGACAAGAATGAGACACACCACCTGTCTATGGCTCTTTGTTTTGCTGGTAAACCAAGTATTTCCCATGCATAGAAAAGTATCTAGCGAAGCAGATATACTAAATGTTATGTCTTAGCTAACACAAGAGATGCCATATCAGAGAGCTACAAATGCATAAGTCTATGAATGTTAAATAACACTTTATATTTGTATCATGATAAAGAATTTTCCAAGTATTTTCATATTCACATTTTATGCTCACAATATGCTTATGTGGTAAGAAGGGCAAATATTGTTGCACTCATTTTATAAACATGAAAAGGTATTTTTAGAAGGATTGAATAATTTGTTTAGGGTTACAAACTAATGCCCCAAATGAGAGGCATTATAATAGAATTTCTGAGTCCTTAGTGTGGGAATTTATAATATCTTTCTTTTCCCCCCGAGATGGAGTCTCACTCTGTTGCCCAGGCTGGAATCCAGTGGCACGATCTCAGCTCACTGCAACCTCTATCTCCTGGGCTCAGGCAATTATCATGCCTCAGCCTCCAGAGTAGCTGGGACTACAGGTGTGTGCCACCGCACATGGCTAATTTTTGTATTTTTAGTAGAGACGAGGTTTCACCATGTTGGCCAGGCTGGTCTCGAACTCCTGACCTCAGGAGTTCACTTGACCTCAGGAATACCTCCTGATGTGCCTGCCTCAGCCTGTCAAAGTGCTGAGATTACAGGCATTACAATATCTTGATTAATATATTCTTTGTTTTTTCCTTTAATTAAAAGTTTTTAAAATTGTTAATCTATAAATATCCATCTATAAATATCCAACTGTTAATATCAAAGGCAATGCTTTTTTCTTCCAACCTATCATGACACACTTGATAGTATTATATACACAGTAAATGCTCAAGGAATGTTAATTCACTGATCAGTGTTTGACAAACAGCAATTCTGGCAATTAAGAAAGAGTCATACCAATACTAAAGTTATTGGCAAAGTGAACCAGACAATTAAGCATGGTGGAAAGCACAAATGTGTGCTATCCCTCCTTATGGACAACATGCAAATAATGCAAAAAAAATAGTTCACCAGTAATACACCCAACCATCAGACAGAATTCACATTGGTATCAGTAGCAACAAGAAAAATAACAGTAATAACATGATCTAGCAATTCAATTCTAAAACACAGCTCTTAGAGATACACTCAGACATGTACGTAAGGAGACATAAAAATGTTTATCAAATGGTAACAGCAAAATACTGGAAGTGACACTAATATCTATTAAGGAGGAGAAATACATAAATTATAGCATTATGAGATCTGCAGAGGATAGAAAACTATGCATCATTGAAATGTGTCATCACAGATCTCAAAAATACAACATTAAGAAAAAATGCATATCAGAGGAATCCCTATAGAGAAATGCTATTTTTATAAATTCAAAAATATGCAAAATAAAGTGTGTGTGGTTTTTTGTTTTGTTTTTTTTTTTTTTTTGAGAAAGCATTTCGCTCTTGTTGCCCAGGCTGGAGTACAATCGCATGATCTTGGTTCACTGCAACCTCCGCCTCCTGGGTTCGAGCAGTTCTCCTCAGCCTCCCAAATAGTTGGGACTACAGGCACCTGCCATCACAGCCCACTAATTCTTGTATTTTTAGTAGAGATGGAATTTCACCATGTTGAGCCACCACACCTGGCCAACAATGTGTTTTTTTAGGCATATATATATATATGATAAAAGTATTTTAAAAAGAAAAGAATAATAAATACAAAATTGAGGACAGTGGCTACTACTTGTGGAGGAAAAAAAAGATGCTACTAAGGAAGGATTTAGGGAGGGTTTCAAAGATTTTGGTAATGTTCTAGTTTTTAAGCTGAGTATAACATATATATATTGTCTTATTATTTAAAATATTTATATTATGTGGGTTTTCATGATGTAAAAACAAAACACACACAGAAACTCCAGTTCTTAAGCTGAGGAATGTGTATACATATTTGTCTTATTATTTACAACATTTATACAACCCCATTCAAAAGTGGGCAAAGGATATGAACAGACACTTTTCAAAAGAAGACATATGAAGCCAACAAACATGAAAAAATGCTCATCATCACTGGTCATTAGAGAAATGCAAATCAAAACCACATGGAGATACCACCTCACCCTAGTTACAATAGCGATCATTAAAAAGTCTGGAGACAACAGATGCTGGAGAGGATGTGGAGAAATAGGAACATTCTTACACTGCTGGTGGGAGTGTAAATTAGTTCAACCATTGTGGAAGACAATGTAGCGATTTCTCAAGGATCTAGAAATAGAAATTCCATTTGACCCAGCAATCCCATTACTGGGTATACACCCAAAGAACTATAAATTGTTCTACTATAAAGACACATGTACACGTGTGTTCATTGTAGTCCTATGTACAATAGCAAAGACCTGGAACCAACCCAAATGCCCATCAATGATAGACTGGACAAAGAAAATGTGGTACACATACACCATGGAATACTATGCAGCCATAAAAAAAACGATGAGTTCGTGTCCTTTGTAGGGACTTGGATGAATCTGTAAACTATAATTCTCAGCAAACTGATACAAGAACAGAAAGCCAAACTCCGCATGTTCTCACTCATAGGTGGGTGTTGAATAATGAGAACATGTGGACTCAGGGAGAGGAGCATCACACGCTGGGGGCAGTTGCGGGGGGGTAGGGGAGAGACAGTAGGGGGTGGGAA